TGAGTCCTTCTTTTTCAATGTTGTTTTGTTTGTTTGAGGACCCTTGCACATTGCATTTTAATAAAGAATCAGCTTTCCCGTTTCAACAAAATGGGTGATACGTATTTTAATCAGGATTATATTGGGTCTGTGAGCCACTTTGGGGAAGAATTGCCCTCTTAACAATAGTAAGTCTGCTAATCTTAAGGACATGAGTACTGATGTTCTTTCATTTAATTAGTATGCTTTCATTTCTTCAGCAATATTTTGTAGTTTTTAGCATCCGAGTCACTTCCTGAGTAATTTGATCCTATGTATATTATTGTTTGGGGTTCTATTATTAATTGAATTGTATTCTTAGTATCTTTTTTACATTGTTCATTGCTGATGTATATAAACACATTTGATTTTTGTGTGTTGATCTCATACCCTGCAATTTTCCTGAATTTATTAGCTCTTGTTCATTTTTAGAGATTTTCTACATGTAGAGTTAAGTCATCTGTGACTAGAAATAGTTTTACTTCTTCCTTTCCAATTTCAGTGTGTATTTTTCCTTAAGTCCTCTGAGAGGACTTCACTACAATATTGAACAGCAGTGGTGAAAGCGTTCTTGTCTTGTTCCCGGCCTTAAGGGGAAAGTTTTTACTCTTTCACCATTGAGTATGATGTTAGTTATGGTTTTTTAAATAAATGCCCTTTATCATGTTAAGGAAATTTTTTTTTTCTATTTCTAGTTTTTTTTTTAGGGCTCTTCAAAAGCAGAGTAGTCTCACCTACTTCCTCGCTCATTTAAAAAAGTCTACTTCTCAATATGCAGCTTAGTTCAGTATTCTGTAAAAGTTTGCTAAATTGTACCAAAAAAACTGGCTTGATATTTTTTTGTCTTAAGTGCTTTTAACATTCTATTTACCAGATCTTGTATTCCTTAACTTGAGACTTCAGATTAGTTTCCTGCTTAAACAGAATACCCTTAAAGAATTGGATATCAGTGTCTTTGAAATGCATATTCTCTGTTTTATGCAGATATCTTACATTTCTATTAAACTCTTGGAAAACAATTTTTGAATTAAAAATAAAATTCTCATTCGTTCAGTTCAGTTCAGTTCAGTCCAGTCACTCAGTTGAGTCCAACTTGAGTAAGTCGGACTTGAAACCCCATGAACTGCAGCACGACATGCCTCCTTTTCCATCACCAACTCCCGGAGTTCACCCAAACTTATGTCCATTGAGTTGGTGATGCCATCCAACCATCTCATCGTCTGTCGTCCCCTTCTCCTGCCCTCAATCTTTCCCAGCATCAGGATCTTTTCAAATGAGTCAGCTCTTTGCATCAGGTGGCCAGAGTGTTGGAGTTTCAGCTTCAACATCAGTCTTTCCAGTGAACACGCAGGACTGATCTCCTTTAGGATGGACTGGTTGGATCTTCTGGCAGTCCAAGGGACTCTCAAGAGTCTTCTCCAACACCACGGTTCAAAAGCATCAGTTCTTTGGCGCTCAGCTTGCTTTATTCATTCATACTCACTGTGAAAGATTATCAGTGGTTAAATTTTACATTTGAGTTTTAAATTTCTTGGCTTTTTGAATAATTTTGTGTTAACCTACTGAACAGTTTTATTTATGATTTTTAGCATCTCCTAAATACATATACATAAATGTGTAATAAAAATTAATATTCAATCTATAATATGAGATATGATTCATAAAGGGAGATTGGACTTTTCTTTGCACTCTATGAATAAGAGATTTGCTAAGTAATTTAAGCAATAGACTTGCTTAAGAGGGTGGATGTTTTTTAAGCATCTTACAAAGCACATCATAAAATTACTTGATGTGGCAATTAAGTCATCAAAATAAGTATTTTCCTAGGTTACCTCTTTCCATATATAAAATAAAATCCAGTTTCTTTAAGTAAGATTGTCCCCAATTAATTTTATCTAAATACATTTAAATTTTATCTGTAAGTATTTTTCATCAATGGAAATAAATACCGGATATCTACAGTGCTAATATGGCCCGTGGGGTCGCAAAGAGTCGGACACAACTGAGCGACTTCACTTTTCACTTTATAAAGTGCTAATATATGTCAGGTGCTTTCTGATAAGGAAGTGCAAAGTAATGTAAGAAAAGTCTTTTGCTGTTTGGTGATTTGCATTCTATTTTGTGAGACAGGAATAGGAATTCTTTAACTGCTGTGTTTGAACTACAAAGTTACATATATGTGAAATTAAATACCATGATCATAAAACGGTAAGAATTACTGTCCAAGAAAGTCAGTAGCCTAGTATTTAGTACTGTCTGTACATTTGCTTATTGATGCTTCAAAACCCAGCAGAGAGGAATTAGTATGTCTATATTTTGCTGTTTATTTGAAGCTTTATAATGGTAGTAATCAAATGCAGTAAAGAAACAGCAAAGTACTGTTGCTGCTGAGGGTTACCATTAATCTTTAGTGAGAACTGCATGTGTTTCATATTAGGATTAAACCTATAAAATAATGCTCTGAGGTCAACCCTTTTGAAATCAGTGAGGTATCATTATACTAAGTAAATTCAGGGAAGGGACTATTTGTGTGTATTTGCTTTAATTAAAGGGATGCAGATGATGTATATTTGAGCCACAGCACAAACATATTAACAACTGGAACTGAATGCTAGTTAATAGCCAATATGCATTACATTATAAAATATATAAGATTAACCATACAGTATTCAACAGACTAAGACACCATGGAACTAATTGACATTGATTTATTATTAACTCAGAAGAACAATAGCTATTGAAAACTACTGCCAACTTACGACAGTCAAAAATTTTAGGAAACTAAATTAGCCATACTAATTTTACCTTATGAATACTAAATTTAGCTGTATTTTAACTCAGTATAGAATTGTATTTTATTCCTGTACAGAAACAAACAAAATATTTACATATTTAAAATTTAGCTATATTTTAACTCAATAAAGTATAGAATTGNATTTTATTCCTGTACAGAAACAAACAAAATATTTACATATTTAAAATTTAGCTATATTTTAACTCAATAAAGTATAGAATTGTATTTTATTCCTGTACAGAAACAAACAAAATATTTACATATTTAAAAAATTAGCTCTGAGCCCATCCTTTGGTCTACTGGTGGGCCTAAAACCTTACTTTAAGAATAGTAAATTACTATATTGTTATACAGGTAATTTCCATTGATGGCATATATGCATATCCGGAAACTATTTGCCAAAATTCCTGTGGCTTTACTTTACTGAACTAGTTGAGATATTACCAGTTTTAGTTTCCAAACCTCTTTTTTGAAAAAAAATAACCAGGTTTCCTTCTTCTTGTTTCATTCTGTCTGCATGAATGTTTCATATTCACAGTGCAGTGTTTAGTTCTCTAAATTTATGTTAAGCAACTGCTGCAACTATATTGCTATATTCAGTATAATAAAATCTGGTGGTTATGTTAACCTAAGACTGGGTAGAGAGAGTTAATTTTAAATGTTTGTTTTTCACTCTTAAGATATTTCTAGTGGAATACTAACTGAATTTCTTGGAGGTTTTTGATTATTTCATTTGAATGCCCTTTCTATGATATTAATATTTTAATTAGCATCTAGCTTAAGGGAAATATACTGAATGTTGCTGAGGGATGTAAACCAAGCATAAATAAATCGTACTTGGGGTTTGGAGCTTAACCAAATAGACCCAGAATACATAAGTAAACAAGGGCCCAAGTATGACAGATTAAAGCAGTCCTTTCAGCACTGGGGATGAGATGGACGTTGTTTTGGTGTGTGTGTGTGTGTTTTCCTCTTTCACTTTAATGATACAGAACCATGTTTTCTTATGAAGTATTATAATAGGTCTATATCTTACTAAAATTCTACATTAAACTACAGTTGAACCCTGAACAACATGAGGGTTTGGGGCTCTAACCCTCCCTACAGTTGAAAATTTGCATATAGCTTCACAGCTGGCCTCTATATCTGCAATTCCACATCCACAGAGTCAGCCAGCTCCAGACTATATAGTGCACTGTAATATGTATTTATTTTTAAAATCTTCATGTACGTGGACCTGTGCAATTCAAACACTTGTTATTCAAGGGTCAGCTGCAGTGATCTTTTCTAATTTACAGAAGAATATTTGAAATTAATAATAAAACAACCATAAAGTACTCTCATGTGTGTATCTATTTATATTTATTAATAATTTGGTGGTTTTTGGCAACCCTATCTCACTTATTCACTAGCACATGGAAGCAGAGAAAAATATCCTTGTTTCTTTCTTTCTTAAACCAGTGCCCGAATTGGGCTGATTACCTTTGCAGTTATTTCCCAGTACTCTTAAAGTAAAATGAAATTCATTCCTTGGTCTAAAATCCATCCTGCTTTTACATGCTGTTCCCCTGCTTTATCTCTTTTGCTGACAGCCTCTTTGACTATATTCTGATACTTGCGTTTTTTTCCCTCTTCTCAGTATCAGTCTGTTTCTATCTTGGTGCCTTTGTACCTGCTTTAACCTGTGTCTAGCACATACTCCCCTCTGTCCTCTTGTGGCTGTCCTTTTGACATTCAGATCAAGACTGTCTCCCTTAAACTCGGTGCAAATTAGTTTAACACAGTCAGTTATTACCACACCAGCCTTTCTAATTCTCTTTATAACACTTACTGTTGTTTGGGATTGTTTCATTTCGGGACTAAATTGTTTCTCTTCTACTTCCTTACCCCCTATACTCCCACTATGAAGTGTAGGTTCAAACCAGAGTGTATTGAGAAACTTTTTCATTGCATCCTTAGGATCTAAATTCATGGTACTCATTAAATAGTTGATGAATTTGTAAGTCAGTCAAGTTTTCCATCTGTATTAGATATACTCTGAATACCTTCAAGCACTTTAGGCTTATGTATTTGGGGCTGAAAGTTGTCAACATTTTAGTAATTTTATTTGATTAATTTTATTTTGCTGGTTGTTAATAAATAATAAGTATTAATCTTAATATCTAGAATTACAATTTCATTTTGACAGGTTGACTTTGGCAGAATATCATGAACAGGAAGAAATTTTCAAACTTAGACTAGGACATCTCAAAAAGGTACGTGAAGCATATGCTGGCCATTTTATTTTACCAGAGGTTGTGGAAAGTTGTATTATACGTTTCTTATTAAAGAAGGCAAAATTTAAAGAGAAAAAGGACCCAAATTTAAAACTTTAGACCAAAAAAATAAAAGAGGGGCATAAAAGTTGCATTTTTATGTTGAGTATATTAAAATAACATTCCTTTACCTTGTGGTAATTTACAAACATTTCAGATACTGATAATACCGTGTCCCTGGGACTTCTCAATGCAGGGGGATGCTGATTTGGTCCCTGGTCTGGGGACTAAGATCCCACATGACGCATGTGGTCAAAAAGTTAAAAAACAAAAACCCTTGTCCCTTTAGTGGAGGAATGATCCAGGACAGAACTCCAGGTTCTTAAGACTACTGTTAAATGCTATCTGGTTTTTTTTTTTAAAAGCTTTATTTTTAAGATAAAATGTAAGATTCTATGTTGTTGTGTCCATTTCATAACAAATTGAAACAATTGTAAATTAATAACAGGTTTCTTTGACTTAACTTTAAAGTTACCAAATACCTGATTAAATGTTTCAGTTAAAATATTTACATTGGCAAATTTAGAAGAGCCTGATCATTGGTAATAATATGAAATGAGATAATTCAGAAAAACATTGCTATATGTTAGTAAGTTTTTATAATGTAAAGCTATGTACTTGTTTGTAAACTCTGAAATTGTATTCAGTTCATTGTTTTTAGTTCGTATTTTTAATTCAAACCATTTCAGAGAAATAATAGATTTTCCCCCTCAAAATGAAATTACTGACAACTATAAAATTCTTTTTCTTTGATCCAGTTTTTAAATTCTGTGGTCTGCTTATCACATTACTTACATTGTTAAATAGGCTGAGTAATAGCTAAAACTAAGTGAACTAAATGAAGATAGTATCTATCAAGTCATCTCCCTGAGGTAGGGTGAGGTAGGTCAGAGAAACCCATTCTTGTAGCAGCCACCATCTCATTATAGATGTTCTTATTTTTTGAATAGGACTTCCCTGGTGGCTCAGATGGTAAAGCATCTGCCTACAACGTGGAGACACGGGTTCAATCCCTGGGTAGGGAAGATCCCCTGGAGAAGGAAATGGCAACCCACTCCAGTACTCTTGCCTGGAAAATCCCTTGGACAGAGTAGCCTGGTAGGCTACAGTCCAATGGGGTCAGAAAGAGTCGGACACGACTAAGCAACTAAACTAAATTATTTTGGAATGCTGTCAACATGCTTCAAATTCCTGCCATTTAGTTACAGGGAACAGAAAAAAATATATATTTTATATATATATATATATATATATATATATATACACACATATTTGTATATTGGAGAAGGGAATGGCAACCCACTCCAGTATTCTTGCCTGTAGAATTCCATGAACAGAGGAGCCATGGGGTCGCAAAGAGTCGGACACAACTGAGCGACTTTCACCTCACATATGTGTATATGTGTGTATATGTAGACACATATATATATGTGTGATTTGTATTAGTGTTCTTTACTGTGCCCCTGCTCAGAAAAGCTTCAGCCTAACTACTTGAACAGTAAATTCTAAAATGAATTTATTCTGATCTGTTTTGTTCTGTTTTATATTCTGTTCTGTTGTAATTATTGATATTTCTCTTGTTCTTTGATATAAGTAGACAACTTCAGTCTGTTTTGTAACCGATGGAGTTGTAACGGGACTATAGAAGGGAAGTGGTGATTTTGTAGTTCAGAATTAGTACAAGTATTTGTCTGCCCATGTAAGCTATTTTGATAGAGACCTGTGTTTGATGTTCCATATAAAGAAAGATTTATCAATTATTTTCTGACCAGCCTTTCATGATCATGGGATACTAAAGTGTATAGTCAACTGGAGGGTTATTATTTTCACACATAATAGTAAATTTCAGATTACTCTTTCTAATGATGAGTTTTACATGTCTTACGGATACCTGTTATAAAATCTGAAATGATAAAGCAGTTAAATTAGGAATCGGCTATTTGTATCACAGAAATACTTAAAAGGATTCAGAGGACAGTTTGTTTTTATTTTTTGATTGGTGGGTGGTTGGTTGATTTTAAAGCTTTCCTGGTACATTGAAAATATTTTATTTCTCTGAAACATTTCTATTTTATAAAGTAGGGTACATATACTTAAATTTCTAGATATTATATAAACAGTTGTAAGCTTTTGTAGTTTACTACACCTTCTCTTCTAACTTCCGTATTATCTTTTTTCCCAGTGTTTGACTTCTCCATTTTTGTATTTACTCAGTCTAATAATTGTCCCTTTCATAATCCTTTTCCTGTTTTATTTTTTCAGCTTTTATCAAATTTACTGAGCAGTTTTAGATTTCTAACTTTATCTTCTTCTTAACCAATTTACAACATTACTTTTCTTTGATCTCTATCATGGAATATTTTGGAAGAATTGATGAATTAATGCTGAAATATACTCTCATGCTTTGAATTCTCACATTTACTTCTGACTTTTTTGGTTGAGAAGAATGAATGCATTATGAAGAAAGTTGCTAGTAGTACACAGAGCACAAAATTGAGTAAGTAGTGTCACCTTAGAGTACAAATAAGTAGTAGTAGTCTGATTTCCACTGGATATTAATTTTTGAGTTGTACAGTTTAAGAATAAAAGGCATTCAGTTACATGTGTTAAAAATAAGTTATTTGGCATTCTAAAGCACAGTTGGAAAGTAGGTCATTAAAAATAGGTTATTCTGGTTTCTAAAACACAAGTAGATTGGACACTTTTAACACATAGAGAACAAGCTTGGGTTGAAAGAAAAGGTGTTACCACCTCTATCTTAAGCCAACATGAACCATACGCCGACATTACTAAACTAATATAAACAACTTAAAAAAAAACAAACAAACATCTAACTATATAGTTTTTACCATAGGCTGGATCTGATCTGTGAGTATTTGATGTCCATGTAACCTGTGCAGGAATTAATCATGTGACCTACATCAGATTAGGGTTTAGATTTGGAGCCCAGTATACCTCCTGCATTACCAAAGGTGACTTTCACTCTCCCTTCAATAAAAACTCTTGAAGTTAGATGGAGTTATTAAATTTGTTGGCACCAAAGGAAAAAACTTCCATCATTGATGAAACCCATACCATTTGGACATAGAAGACTAGAAGACCTAGTTAACTTTTTCTTGAGATAATTTATGATGTACAGTGTATTTTATAGAGATAATCATAATAATTGAATAGGTAAACAAATATGAAAAAGTGTTTACCACTGAATAAATCATAAAGTCCAGTTCATACTCTGTACTATTCTGCAGGGCTAGAAACATAATAATCCAAATCCAGTGAATCTGTTAGTGTGATAGAGTAACAAATGAGAGTTCAGCAGTAAGTCTGTGGCTGAAATAAATTCTCATTCCTGGTTACCACTGAATAGTAAACGTAAACTTACTTAAGGACTTAACTGTCTTCTGAAATTAAGAAAATTGTTGTTCACATCATCTTTTTTAATATATTAAAATTGTTTAATATTGTTTTAGTTATCAGTTTATGAAATTATTGCTCACTCATTCACTAAGTGATTTATTTCCACATTTCAGGAGAATTACATAATATTACATTTTATACACTTTGAATTTTTAACCATTCTAGAATGAACATGAATGTTAAATTTGAATGCCAGGCTCTTCTTTGCTTTGTCTAAATTAATATAGCCAGTAACTAGCAAAGCCAAAACTTGAACCTTTTTCCACTGCTACTTCAGTGGAAGTATCCTTACACTTTATTCCTACAATTCTTTAGTTGTAGATGGATAGCAAGTTGATCCTTTTGTATTCAGACTTGATTCCCTTATAGCTTTTTTTGCATCTTTCTTAGAGTAGTAGGAATGTTTGCTTTCCTTTTTTCCCCCAGAAATAGACTTTTATTTTCATCACAGATAAAGTAGAGCAATTAAATTCTTCACACACATACTTCTTTCTCTCTTTCTCTCATATGTTACTTTCCTTGGGTAGCCTGTTAGTGACTATTCTGTCAATTAGAATATTTCTTTATTATTAATTGGTTTACTGTTTTTCATTATAAATTTATCTTTAAAGGTCAACAGGAAATGCATGTTTTGGGAGGTAAAATGTGCTAATACGCTCTAGTGTAGTTTTACCTTTATACAGCTAAAGATTTAATAGAACGTAAAGGAAGTATATAGTAAAATATATGTATATTATACAAATTACTCCTGAAACTTACCAAAATAACTTTTTGCTACTAGTCATTATGTGCACACTTCCTTGATTATCGCTTATAAGCTTGTAGTTGCAATGAGAATAATTTCATATGTTTAAGATGTTGTTCCTTTAAGGTAGAGCAACTAAATTCCATAATGTACCTGTGCCACATGAGGCATCTCTGGCTTTTAAGAAAAACTAATAAGCCCTGTACTAATTAGCTTTTATAGTTGATCCTGTTTTGATACCAGTCTTGATAAATTCTAGTTATGAGAAAGTCATTTATCTTTGTAATTTGAGGAGTTCTACTAGGTGGTTGTTTGTATAACTCTGATCGTAATTCTAGAATTGAAGAAAACTATGTGGATGTGCTTTCCAAGGATTATTACTAAACTAATATAAACAACTTAAAAAAACCCTGATAAACCATCTTCCTTGTAATAGATTGTCTCTCTAGTCATAATATTATTTAAAAAAAAAATTACCAATTATAATACCCCAAAATAAAGAGAAAGTAGGAATTTTGAAAGTTATTGAGACCAATAACTATATCATACCACTGCTGTTTGACTCAAGTTTGTGATGTGAACAGCATGTGGAGGTGTTTATTCTGGTCTTCGAATTTTTTTGTCTTCTGGATTTTAAATATTTGATTAGTTGGAGAGAATGCATATAGAAGATTTGACATCTCAGTATGGAATATTAGATAGTGTAGCAGGGATTGACTTTAATGTATGTGTTTTTTGGGGGGGGGTGTGAGAGAGAGAGTTATAAACCCTGAATTTA